ATATATATAAAAGATCAGGCTTACTGGTCAGAAAGAGACTGAGGGAACCCGAGACTATGGCCCTCAGCCACTCTTCTGGTCTGAAATGTAGTTTACCCCTCATGGCCTAATTTTCAGCCAAGCAGTAGATATGATATGGGGGGGGGAGCGGGGGAGGGAGAGCAGCAACACTAGTAAGGTCTGCTCACTATGGAATGGTCAACATTCAAGATCAAAAAGGCAGCATTTACCTAAGGACAAAGTCCAGAAGTGGTGGGAAGGAGGGTGGAATGGAAATAAAAAGCATAGGGAAGATGTTACACGGAGATGACTGCAATCATTAAGATGAATTAAAATTTATTATTTGTTAAACGTAGAACTGATGATCTGCTCTGTATGTAAACCTTCAGTCAATTCACAATAAAAAGTTTCAAAGAAAAGCTGTTGGGGCCAATTGGTCAGACTTGATCTTGTATGTGTGTTGGGTATGGAGAAGTGTTTCCTATCACTGCCATGTAGTTCACTGATTTGCATACGCCTTGTGCTAAGATGTCCTCAAATTGTCTTTCACTCAGGACTTTGAACAGGTTCTTTCAAATTCAGTAATGGGTGAGGAGATGAAACTGGGACAGAGCCAATTTTTTAAAATTTGGATGAATCGATACTAACTGGCAGCCCTGCTGGAATTTAATCTTCCTGTTATAAACAAAGGCAGCTACATGTTGCATAGCAACCAAATCTCTTTCCTGGTGGATTTGGAACAGAGTCGGAGCCAACGATGCCGGAATCAACCGAATCAAAGATGGCAGTTGGCAGTGCTACTCTGAATGTTCCCCATAGTTTCTCCATCAGGTTCTCCATAGTCCTGCCAACACAACAGTTTCATGCATCAGTCCCTGGGAAGGTCTCCCTTTCCAGGGCTTCATAATTTTTCCCTTTTTGGTTATCATCCAGATCACCCAAATTTTTAATATCCACGTCTGTTCCAACTGAGCTCTCTATTGGTCATGACTGAACTGGTTTGAACCAGTTCAAATTCCTGATTTCAATACTGGATATGCACATATTCATTTCCAGTTTTGCTATGAGAATACTCATATTGAGTAAAATATTCAGTGATCAATGGCAGGCAACAGATGGGGAAAGAAATACCTTTCATTGTATGGTCCAAAATGGTAGCCACTAACTTCACGAAGCTACTCAACTATAAAACTAATGAAAATAATTCAAGTTAAATACAATTTTAAAAGTCAGTTCCTCACTCATGCTAGGCACATTTCAGGATCTCAATAGTCAAATGTGGCTGATGGTCACCATACTAGACAACATAGATAGAAAACATTTCCATCGTCACAAAAAGGTCTACCAGAAAGCACTGTTCTAGAGCACATAGAACATTTTCCCACAATCATAGGTACAGCTACAGCCCAAGGAACTCTGACAGGAATTCGTATTGCATTATCTAGGGTTTGCATTTGCACATAATTCCATCTTTGGCAATATTTAGCAAAATGTTGCAGTGGTTAAATACTAGGGCTTTGGGGTAGAATAGCTCTGGATTTTAATGCGACCTTAGTCATACTATTTCACTTCTTTGTGTCTGGTTTTTCATTTCTAAAAAATGCGTAACAGTTTCGACCTCACTGAGTTGATATGATGCTTAAATGACATGTTGTGGTTGTTGTTGTTAAGTGCCGTCAAGCAGGTTCCAACTGCTTGGGTTTGAATAGCTAGCCTTGCGGTTGGAGTCTAGTGGTTAGCCTACAGTGTCATACCAGGAGTCCATAAACCCATGAAAAGCCCTTAGTCCAATAACTGGCAGACAAACTTATAAATACTAGCTATTCTTAGCATTATTCTCTTAGCCTAGAAAATGAACCTGGCTTGCTCTGTTGTTGCCAAGTGCTATCAAAACGGTTCCGACTCATAGTGACCCTACATAGGGTTTCTGAGAGCAGTTGGTGGGTTTAAACTACTGACTTCGCAGTTACCAGCTTATCCTACAGCACCACACCAGGAATCTTAGATCTAGAATCTAGGTGACCAGTAGAAACGGCAATAAGGAATATGCAATTTTATGAGCAGCAAGAGGGTCAAACCCTAACAGGACCACTTTCAGCTTTCCATGGACATAAACGGCAACATTTTCAATTCCTCCAAAACTTGAGGCCAGCAACCATGGAGGAGATACCTTCTACCCTAAAGATCTATTTGTCTTGAAGCTCTCAAAAGTCAGACTTAGGGTTATCTTACTCTCAGTCGAACATGACTCAGAATTAAAAGTTAACCACCATGTCACAGAAAACAAAAGATACAATATCAAAACATACCATCTATACAAGAAGATTACCCAAACAAGTCCATCAGTAGGAGAGGTACTTGGGATTGTTTTCCAACTATTTCTAACACTTAGATCAAATTCCTTGATATATTTTTAAGGTAAAAACGTCACTATGTCCAATCCTCTGTGAATACCACGCAATAAGGTCTATTGTACCTCTATAAATCAATTGGAGAAATCTTTATAGAATATTTACTTCCTACCCGGTACTTTTGTTCTAAACCAGGGATCAGCAAACTATAGCTAGCAGACCCAATTCGGCCACCTCCTGCTTTTGTATTTTAAGTAAGGTAAGAATAATTTTTATGATTTTAAATGTTTAGAAGAATATTCTATAAACACAATTGTCAAATACTAAATGGCTATGAAAAGTAGCTATTGCAGAAGACTTGATAATGCTTCTTAATGAATTTCACTTAAAATTGTGAGGTAGAATAGTGCCTGTTATGTGAAACTGATTCTGCAGTAAAGTCATTTCAACAACTAGCATTGTTCAAATCACAAATAATGTCCACATGCCTTATATACCTCCCATGCTTACAAAAGATAAAACAAGAAAACCACACTGAGATACCACTCTTGTTAAATGCCGTCAAGTCAGTTCCAACCCATAGAAACCTTATAGGGTTTCTGAGGAGCGGCTGGTGAGCTTGAACTGCCGATCGTGCAATTCAAACCAACCTTGCAGTCTAGCACATTAATCCACAGAGCCACACCAGGACTGTACACCCACTCAATTCCAACCCATGGTGACTCTACAGGACCGAGTGGAATGGCTGCATAGATTTCCAAGGCTGTAAATTTTTATAGAAGCAGAGGGGATGGTGGGTTTGAACCATTTATATTTTAGTTAGTAACTGAGTGCTTTACCCACTGTGACACCAGGACTCCTTCACACCCACTAGAACACCTATTGAATAAAGATAGACATTAACAAGTCTTGCTAAATAATTTGAGAAGTGTGAACCCTCATACATTGTAGGGTCACTGTGAGTCTGAGACGACTCTAGGGCACTTAACAGCATTGTTGGTAGGAACATAAAATGCTACAGCTGAATTGGTAAAGTCTCCCAGTTCCTCAAAAAGTTAAACGTAAATTTGCCATTTGTTGTTGTTGTTAAATTTCATCGAGTCAGTTCTGACCCATAGTGACCCTGCATAGGGTTTCCAAGGAGCAACCAACTTGACAGCATTTAACAACAACAATGCTGTTAAAATATACTCTAAAAATTAGGTGAGAGAGAGTGGTAAATGGGAACTTTGCAACTTTTCCTATAAATATAAAGATATTCTAAAAATTATTAAATAAGTTAAAGCAAAAAATTAAAATAATAAAACAAAGATTCAGTATTTGCATGTTTCTGGTGTGGTTCTATAAGATCAGTACTAGACTACAAACCACAGGGTCAGTAGGTGAAAACCACCAGCTGCTCCTTGGAGCAGGGTCGCTATGAGTCGTAACTAACTCGATGGCACTAACCACAAACAAATGTGTATAAAAAGACATTTTCAAAAGATGAAACATATAAAATTTCATTACAGATTAGCATTAACAGATGAACATTTAGAAATGATTTTTATAATAGAGAACACAAACTTTAAACCCCAACTACAAAAAAATGTTATCCCTCTCCCCCAAAACCCATTCTTCTCATTAATAGCTCTGTATTGCAAAAAGCAAACTATTGTTATTATTGTCTTTTCATTTCATCAGTAAACATTTGTTGAAATTAGTTTTCTTTTGCGTTATTTGCCTACATAATGTCCTGGACTTTGCCTTTTGGTCTGCAAAGCCTAAAATATTCACTATCCGATGCTTTACAGAAAATGTTTACCAACCTCTGATCCACACCTTAACAGGATAGACATAATCAGTCTCTTTCTTGAGTGTATTTTTATCATTACCTGATTTTGGCACAATGCCTCTTCCAGATATGCCCTTGCATCTCTTTTGCTATTGCACTATTTGAAATTTCTATAAATAGAAATATCAGCTTAACAGGTTTAGCAAAGCCTCAGTGTCATCACTATTAACATGATATTAAAGTAACACCATACCACAGTATTCTTAGGATGACTCTCATCAAATTGTGATGTCACCATGATGTAGACTCCTCGAGGTCTCTTAGATATCAAGTGGCTCCCAGGGCATCCCACCCTGTCGTTGGCATCAGCCTGGCACATCACTTTACTATGATGTCATTTACTATCACAAATGTGACAGTATCCTGCTCTGAGGCCACTCTGCCGAGATGTCAGAGTAAATACCTCCTACTTCTTTCCACTCCCTTGGCAGTGGAAGAGAGGGGGAGGGTAGCCAGAGTCATCAGTACTAGCAAAGGAGGTAGTTCCCAGCTCCAACTGTTGTCCCTTCCGCCTAGCACTACAAGTTGGGGCCCCCGGGGGACAGAACCTTTAGGGTCCCATTATTCTCTTGCCCTGACCCCACACCCGTTCTGTATGGTCGACTCAATGGGCAACCACCCACCCCTGTTCTTCCACACGGTTCCTCACGAAGCAGCTCCCCGTACCTGACTCCATTCTCCAGCTGTCATCCTGGGCCAATTCCACCGGCCACTAGACTACGGCAGCCGCAAGGGACCCTGGGACTTGTAGTTTAGCGCTTCCAGGGGTCGAGTCTGTGTGGGAAGCAAAGTCACCTCCCCCATCCGGAACTGCTCTTAAACTTCAACTCCCAGAGGCCCTTAAAATGGGAAAAAGAGGCGAGGGAACGAGTTTGATTGTTGATTGGTAAAGCTCCTTTGATTGGCAGTTGGAGCCGACAACGTGAGGCGGTCCTTGGTGCGACCTCACGGAGAGCCTGAGGAAAGCGAAATGGAGGGGTGTGTGTCTAACCTTATGGTCTGCAACCTGGCCTACAATGGGAAGATGGAGGAGTTGAAGGAGAGGATCTTGGCCGATAAATCCCTGGCTACTAAAACGGACCAGGTAAAGCAGCGGTAGAACCTCTCCCCAGGCAGCGGCGAAGCCCTACGTGGCTTCCAGGGCCCTGCCCAAGTCCAGGCCCACTCTGAGTTGTAGATCCCGCCCCCGCCGCCCCTTCCTTCACCGGGCCGCATGAACGAGCCCACAGGCCTCGGAGACTTTTTTGGCCCAGTAATGTGCTTGCTAAGTTTTGGATATTTCTAGAACGTCTACCGAATTCCGCAACAATGCCCTAGCCTTTGAGAGGAGTACAGCTTTGCGTTTCTTTGCCGTCACTAGCGATTTTTACTCGATTGAACACGTGTAACTGAACGCCTCTTTTGTGCCAGGCAATTTGCTAGGCGCTGGAGATGTGAGTGAATGGAAAAAGCAGACATTCGTAAAACAATCACAAAAACCACGTAAGGTTACCAATTGGGACAAATAACTCCGGAGAAGTTTTACAGAGTGCTTTGGGAACCTGTAATGAAAGGACCTGATTTAACGTCTTTTGTAAGTTAAAGGCGTCCTGGTATGGCGCCGTAGGGTAAGCACTGGACCTCATGGTCGGCTTGAACCACAGGTGGGCGGTTCAAACTCACTATCCGCACCTGTTTCAATGGCACATAACAACAAACAACAACATAAGAGCTGAATGGACTCTTGGCATGGCGTTGTAGGATCAGTGCTAGACTGAACCACATGGTCGGCAGTTCAAATCCACCAACTGCGCCTCGGAAACCCTATACAGGCGCGCCATGGGTGGGGACCGACTTGAAGGTGACTTAACAACAAAGAAAGAGCTGAATATTGATTGTTGTTAATGGGAAAAGCTTTGTAAAGGAGGGAAAGTTAGAACTACAAGGCTGAGTGGACTGTCCAGGTGGGGTGAAGGGGCATTCGCAAGTAGAGACAGAACAAAAATGAATGGACGTTTGACAAGTGTTTCTCTCTGCTCAAAGGACCCTTAAATGTTTTCACCCTGAGTTTCTAGAAAGATCCACTGGTGCCCTCAGTTAGCCAACAACTAGGAGAAATTCAACAAATGAGAATGGAATTCAGAAAATGAGCTTAAAAAAAAAAATGGAGAAATTCCTTATCTCTATTCTATGTTTTGGGGAAGATAGAGACCAGGAGACAGTTTTATTTTCTGAAACTTTCCTTTGTTACTTATGTGCAAATGGCCCCACCATTACCAGGTTAGCTTTTATTGTGGTCTGGTAAGACTGAATAATAGTTTGCTGCTATAAGGAGCTCTGGTAGCGTAGTGGTTACAAATCGGGCTGCGAACCTAAGGCCAGCAGTTCGAAACAGCCGCTCCGCGGGAGAAAGATGAGGCGTTCTGCTCCGGTAAAGATGTACAGCCTCGGAAACCCTGTACAGAGTCGCTATGTACTTAACAACAACAACAACTAAGATTTATATTGTCAGGAGGGAGCAGTCGCTGGAGAAGGATATCATGTTTGGTAAGGTGGAGGGTCAGAGATAAAGAGGAAGATCCCCAGCGAGATGGATTGGCCAAGTGTCAGCATGGATGGACTCAAGCTTGGCAACAGTAGTGAGGTTGGCCCAGGATCGGGCAATGTTTTGTTCTGTTGTGCATAGGGTCGCTATGGGTCGGTGCCGACTGGATGACACCTAACAACAACAATACTAAGCTTTAATGTTACTTCATTGAAAATTTACCAGTCCTTCATCAAATTAATGGCATAAAAAAAGGGAGGCTTAAGAAACATCATGAGATTGAAGAAACATAACAATCAAATGCAATTTATGGACCTTGCATGAGTCCTGCATTAAACAAATATAACTGGAAAAAGTAAATTGAGGGGACAACCAAGAAAATCTGAATATAGACTAAGTTTTTGATGTTATAATGGAGTTGTGTTAGTTGTAGTACGTATATTAATGGTCTGGTAATTAAGAAATCATTTTTTTTTTTCAAGGTGCATTTGGAAATACTTAAGGGTGAAGAGTCATATTTGGAATTTGTTTTCTACAAAAAACCTCAGCAAAGAGAAAAAAGCAGATGAAGCAAATGTTGTGGTTAGGTGCGGATGAGTCAGTTCTGACTCATAGCAACGCTGTGCACAACAGAACAAAACACTGCATGGTCCTACGCCAGCCTCACAATTGTTCTGCCTGAGCCCATTACTGCTGCCACTGCCTATCCATCTCATTGACAAATATTGGCAAAAGATGAAATCTGTGTGACAGGCATATGCGTTCCTGCACTGTTCTATTTTTCTATATGTTTGAAAATTGTTATTAGAAAGTTTCAAGTACATTTTTTAATACAGGTTTGACTAAGAAATACAACACTCAATGCAAATTGCGAAACACAGCTAACTCCTAGCTTATTACAGATGTACCAAATTGTACTGCATTTTGCTTTATTGTGCTTCACAATAAACTGAAGGTTTGTGGCAACCCTGAATCAAACACGTCGATTAGTGCCATTTTCCCAACAGCCTATGCTCCCAGCGTGTCTCTGTACAGCATTTTAGTAATGCAGTATTCCAGACTTTTTCATAATGCTATTATTACATACTTAATAGACTACAGTATAGTATAAACATAACTTTTACTGAGAAAGCAAACCAACTCATGTGACCCTCTCTATTGCAGTATTCGTGTCATTGTTGTGGTCTGGAACCTAACTCAGTATCTCTGAGGTATACCTATATTAAGAAACCAGCATTATCTTGTTGCCGGCTAATTCTTACAAGACTGAGTCCAAATGTTTTTTTTTAATTGCTACAAAATCATAGCAACTTTTATTAAACAAGACTATCCAATTGTGAAGCTGTTTATTATTTCTTGACATACCTTCCATCTAGGTCAGTACATTTCTACAGGCAATGTTTCCATCTTTCTAACCCTTCCCCTGGAATCCTGGTGTGGTACTATGGGATAAAGCACTGGACTGCAAGGTTGGTTTGAATTGCAAGGTCAGTGGTTCAAACTTACCAGCCGCTCCCTGGAAATCATATACAGGGTTGCTATGAATTGGAACCAACTCATCAGCGCTTAACAACAACAACCCTTCCCCTATGAGTCGGAACCAACTCAATAGCACCTAACAACAGTCTTTCCCCAAAGAATTCTGTGCTCTTAGATTGATACCAGGTCAAAATGGCAGTTTGGGTATCCTCGAGAGACTCAAATTGTGTTTCTTTTAAAATATTCTTTGAATTTGGGAAGCAAAACAAGTCTGATGGGGCAAGACCAGAGCTGTAGGGTAGATAGGGTAATGTTTCCCAGTGAAAGTATTATAAGACAGCCCCTGCTGACTTGGAAGAATGAGCAGATGCTTTGTTGTAGTGGAAATAAATTCATCAGTGCAATTTTCCTGGCCTTTTTCTCACCAATACAGTTTTCTGTTTTCTTAAAACTTCTTTCTAATAAGCCCCTCCTGATCATCCTGTGTCCTTCAAGCAAATCTATCAAGATGACCCCTTGGGGATCCAAAAACAAACAGTCACCATAACCTTTTGAGCTGATATTTCTGCCTTGAATTTAACTGGTCCGGCAGATACCGACCTTTGGAAGCCACTTACTTGATTGGACCTTTTGTTGGAAGGCACCCTAAGGTGACTAAGACAAGCTATCCACTGACCACAGAGACATGTTTACATACTTTTTGTTTGCGATAAACCAGTGCATGCAGGTACTGGAGCCCTAGTAGCCATACTTTTGATTTACTGTCAGATATAGATATGTTGTTGTTATGTACTATGGAGTTGGGTCCAACTCACAGGGACCCTGTATAGAGTTTCCAAGGAGCAGCTGATGATTTGAACTGCTGGCCTTGTGGTTA